AGACAAACCGGTTTTTTGGAGTACAAAGGGAACGGGGACGGGGGTATCATAAATTATTTTTGTCAAACATGTTATGGTTCCGTGTGTTCTTTTTTGTTATAGTTTGTTTGTAAGGAGCACTGAGAAACCTCAAAATGATATTTTGTATATTGATAAGTGTTGGAAAATCAAAGAGCACGTTCTGCGATGTTTTAACAGAGCACCAGTTTGACTAATTTAATTCCCTAAATAATCTTCAGGCTCTTTAGTACTACACGCGAGCGGGGGTTTCGTTGTCTGTTTTCCAAGTATTTTAGGTACCTTTCCCGCCCTGGTAAGTTCTAATGTTCGCTAGAATTAGAGCTTGGACGGCGGGCTTTGATCTTAGTGTTAGGACCATTATTACCTCCATGAAAAATGGAGGTATTGTTTTTGGCGTGTCTGTCTGTATGTCTGTCTGTCTGTCTGTCTGTCTGTGTGTCTGTGTGTCTGTCTGTCTGTGTTTCCGCAACTTTGTAGGCGGCATAACTTCATAATGCCTTTATGGATTGTGATGAGATTTGGTATGATGATAAGTCTTAGGAAGACAAAGGTCAAGGTCAAATATGGGCCTCCTGGTGGATGACCTTGGTACTGCAGCAGAACTTCCGGTTTTTGTATCTTTTGTTCTGAACAAGCTATGGTCTTGACTTTTGGTGACAGATAGCTTATCTTGTCAGGAATAAGTGGCGTAAGTTTGGTCCCCCTAGCAGCTTGTTCTGGAACTGCAGGTTAGTTTCTGGTAAAAACTTTCAAAGCCAATAAGTCTAGATTGGAACAACATATTTTCATCATTTTTGGTGTGTAGGTACTTAAAAGACAGTTGTACATGATTAAATGCAAATTATGCAAATGCGGACTTAATTTGCATAATTAATGAGGAAATTCTATAATTACAGTGTTTCATATAATGGTACTGCTATACATGTAATCTATTTAATCTGTGGCAGGCGGAACATCAACAGATACCAATTATGCAAATGATGACCTAATTTGCATGATTAATGTGAAATTCTGTAAATTCTTATTGG